CTCCTGGAAATCCAGACCTTTCCAAAGGTCTTCGAAAGAACTCTCTAATTAATGCCATGTGTGTTCCTACCTTTGTTTTTAGCCCCCGTTGGTCCCGCCTCCCGGGTTACTTACTCCATCCACACAGCAGGGGTGAAGAAGGGAAAGTGATCACACAGTGACTCAGTAACATTTTAGAAACACGGTGTTTCTGTTTACCATTTAGAGTTTTCTGTTTATTAAAAAATGCTTTTTGGACCATTCCCATCTACCCTGTGTGATCACATTCCTCACTTCCATGGCTATTGTGAATATAGTGACCCTGTAGTATTTCACTTAACCTGGAAAAGATGTTTTCTATCCAGATGTCTATTTCTCAGATACACTCTGTTCCAGTAAATCGCTTGCTAAATCTTTTTGCTTTTCTGGTTTTTTTTTTTTAGAATGTTTATTCATTTTTGAGAGAGAGAGAGACAGAGACAGAAGGGGAGGGACAGAGAGAGAGGGAGACACCTCTCCCTCTGAAGCGGGCCGTGTGCTGACAAAAGAGTCCAATGAAGATGCGGGGCTCGAACTCATGAACTGTGAGATCATGACCACAGCTGAAGCTGGATGCTTAACCGATTGAACCAGAGGTGCCCCCCCACCTTTTTTTTTTTTTTTTACTATCTAATCAATATGGAATATATTCTCTTCTCTTCTCAACACTGATTATTCAAATATATATGGATACCTATAATATGTAGGTGTGTTGGTACCTATCTTTAAAAAAAGGAGTTAGACATGAGAAAATTAGGCAAATATGAAAATCATCAGGGAAACAAGTTGGAACCAGAAACGCATTTGTACACATGTTTCAGACCTGAGTCATATATAATTCTGACTGTGAGATTTCTGGAGGTCCTATCAAAGAAAACATATCTGTTAAAAGATTAACTATCAGTTAAAATCAATAAGTGCTGGGGTGCCTGGGTGGCTCAGTTGGTTGGGCATCCAACTATGACTCTTGGTTTTGGCTCAGGTCATGATCTCACAGGTTTGTGAGTTCAAGTCCCATATGGGGCTCTGCACTAACAATGTGGCGTCTGCTTGGTATTCTGTCTCTGTCTCTGTCTCTCTCTCTTCCTCCCTCCCCTCTCTCCCCCTGTCTGCCCCTCCTCTGCTCTCTCTCTCTCTTTCTCTCTCTCAAATACACTTGAAAAACATAATCAGTTTTACACAAGCATGGTTTTTCAGAGAAGGAAGGTACACCAACACTAAGTAGTAGTGTGGTCACTGTGGTATAGGAACAGTAAAATTTCCCAGAGTGGGGAATCTCTGGGTTTTATTAATTAGCTTCCATGTGACAGGTCATAGATGTCCTTTGAGAAACCACTGAGCTAAAGTAAGAGCTCTGTATTTCTTGTCTTCTATTAGTTGAGAAGCCCTAATTCTTAAGCTGTCCAGAAGGAATCTTAGTAGTGGTCTTGCTCCTGTGGGTCTATTGCCACTGAAGACTTTCAACTTTGGAACCTCAACAGAGAAGTAGATTTGTCCAAAAGCAGTGATGTATGAAAGTTCTTTAGATATTGTTCATTTTGCTTTTAGTTCTCTTCATACAATTGAAGCTAGAGTTTTAAGTCAGGAAAATATTATAATGCACTGAAAAGTTGGTACTTTGGGGGTGCCTGGGTGGCTCAGTCACCATCTGACTTTGGCTCAAATCATGGTCAACTTTTGGGACCTTATCAAGATAAAAAGCTTCTGCACTGCAAAGGAAACAATCAACCAACCTAAAAGACAAGCGATGGAATGGGAAAAGATGTTTGCAAATGACATATCAGATAAAGGGTTAGTATCCAAAATCTATGAAGAACTTACCAAACTCAACACCCAGAAACAAACAATCCAGTAAAGAAATGGGCAGAAGACATGAATAGACACTTTTCCAAAGAAGACATCCAGATGACCAACAGTTACATGAAAAGGTGCTCAACGTCACTCATCATCAGGGAAATCCAAATCAAAGCCACATTGAGATACCACCTCACAGTGGTGGAAACAACAGATGTTGGCAAGGATGTGGAGAAATGGGAACCCTCTTGCACTGTTGGTGGGAATGAAAACTGGTGCAGCTGCTCTGGAAAACAGTGTGGAGGTTCCTCAAAAAATCAAAAATAAAACTACCCTGTGACTCAGCAATAGCACTATTATGAATTTATCCAAAGGATACAGGAGTGCTGATTCATAGGGGCACATGTACCCCAATGTTTATAGCAGCGCTTTCAACAATAGCCAAATTATGGAAAGAGCCCAAATGTCCATCAACTGATGAAATGATAAAGAAGATGTGGTTTGTATATACAATGGAATACTACTTGACAATGAGAAAGAATGAAATCCTGCCATTTGCAACAACATGGATGGAACTAGAGGGTATTATGCTCAGGGAAGTAAGTCAGCCAAAGACCTATCATATGTTTTCACTCATAGGTTGATATTGAGAGACTTAATAGAAGACCATGGGGGAAGGGAAGGGAAAAAATAGTTACAAATGGAGAGAGAGGGAGGCAATCATAAGAGTCTCTTAAATACAGAGAACAAACGGTTGACTGGGGGTTGGGGAGAGGGGAAAGTGGGTGATGGGCATTGAGGAGGGCACCTGTTGGGATGAGCCCTGGGTGTTGTATGTAAGTGATGAATCATGGGAATCTACCCCCAAAACCAAGAGTGCACTGCATATGCTGTATGTTAGCCAATTTGACAATAAATTATATTTAAAAAAAAAAAGTCATTTATGGGAGCTTCCAGCCTAAGGCAGTCCTTGCTGAAGCAATACTATGTCAACTGTTGGCAGTACATGGCCGAGTGGGGAAGAGGATAAAGAGAATGCATTCCGCCAGGTAGATCGCCATGACTTCTTGCAATTCCGTGTCCTTCATTCAGTATGATACCGATTTGAACCCAGAAGTTCTCAACCCCCATAGAGAAATCTGAAACAATTACTTTCTCCATTAAAAAAAAGAAAAAACCAAACCTACTAACCTATAGGGATGTTGGTTGGTTTCTGGAATAGATAATGGAATATTCTGTTTCAGTATGCTGTAATAAGCCCTCCTTCCTTTTAGATAAGGAGTATGGTGAAAATAACACCAATAGTAAGAGCTAACATGTATTGACCGTCTTCTATATGCTGGGCATTGCACTCAGCATTGAACCTGCTGTATTATGTCATTTTGTCAACCGCTCCATGAGATAGGTGCTTTTCCTTTATCCACTTTCTTAATGAAGAAACTGGGGCATGGAGAAATTAATACCATGCCCAGAGTCACAAGGCTCATAAGGAACAGATAAGAGAACCAGAATTCAACTCCTGGTCTGACTTCTAATGACGTATAAACCTCCTAAATGCATAAAGTTCTGAGTCTGCTTCTCGTTCTCTGGTGGCAGATGAGATTCCTGAGGGGACAGGCTTACCCATGAAAGGGAAGGGGGGACATGCCATGGGCAAGGGACATCTGAGGCTTGTGAAAATATGAATTTACTGGGCTGGTTTTGATGTACCTATCAAGAGACAGAGTTTTATTTTCCGCGGTCAAGAAGTGAGGCATGACAAAAGCTAGACTGAATTTCGAGTGGCCAGACCCCCATAAGAGAGTATGTCCTAACTTTGTGAAATGTTGGACTTGTTCATCCCGGATAACTTCTTTCCACACAGAGGAGGTGCACCCACATGGTTCAAGAGTAGCGAATAGATTTTATGTGAAATTTTATCCTAATTACCACAGAATTCTCTCTCCACTGATACCATTTGCATGAAAATGGTTTCCGGGGTAGAACAAGGTTGTCTGAAGAGTTGACCCTGCATCACTGGTACATGGATTAACTTAACAAATAAAAGGATTTTTTTTTTGACATTTAGGATTTTATCCCCATAGGTGTCTGAGCAAATTAGCACATGAAACCTGTGATTTTACAAATGTTATTGCTTAGTTGAAAGTAGGTTGATTTTTTTTTTTTTTTAAGAGGGAGTGAGTTTAAAGCCCAACTCTACAAGTCAAATACTACAGGAAACACATCAATAAGGGGGCAATTATGAAATCAATGCCTGGGGGCCTGAAGTTTGGAGAGGACTTGGTGGTGTTACTTCCTTCCATGCACTAGCTAATGCCGCACAGACTTTGTCTTCTGTAGACTATGGATAAGTAACTTGGAAGAAAAATAGAAAGGGGGGATTGGTCTAGAATGCATTGTGTTGACTTTATTTCCCACTGCTGCCCCCCAATTTTGTGAGGTGATAGAATTTGTAGTGCACTTAGCTGCACCCTTTTAAAGTACATTTTTTCCATTTCTCTCATGAATAGAATTTGCCTTACTCACAAGCGGCACTATATATCCAGGGTCCTTGTGTCCCTGGTCTTTCCTTTCTTATCATTTCATTGTCCCAGTTCTTTGTGCACAGAGAACTCCCACGGACCCCCTATCCTCGTAGTTTGCTTTTCCTTATAGTCTGTGTTGCAGGGCTGGGAAACAGATAAAACAGTCTTGGCCGAGTCAGATAAGATGCTTACAAAGAAAACCTACCATGAGCTGCAATTAAACAGTGCCCAAGGGTCAAAGCAATCTCCCTTTCCCTAATCGCCATGCCTTACTCAAATGAGCATTCCCCAGTATGAAACGTGCTATAGAAAATGTACCTGCTTTCTCAGTCTTACCCTCGATTCAAGATGACATCAAAATCGGAATTACCAGAGTTTTCTAAAACTGGGAAAAACACACGTTTACTCTTTTGTCCCCTTTTTTCAGGCCTGCTTTCTGTTTTATCTCACAGTGCTATCAGCGATTTATTTAAAGAAGGGTGGCATCTCTTAACCGACTTGATTTATTGTTCCTCCATTGCCTCCGAGCTAAGACTTGATGTTCACTGGTAATTGCCTTGCAGTTTTAAACCTGAGCCCGGTATTCCTTCTTGCCAATGACAAATGCAACAGATGACATGAAGCATGGGAGAGAATTAAAGTAACGTTGTCTCTTCTTTTCAGATGGTAAGGTGGAAGTCACCAAAGAAGGTGTGAAGCTGTGCACCATGGGTCCAGGAAAGGTGTTCGGAGAGTTGGCAATTCTTTACAACTGTACCCGGACAGCTACCGTCAAGAGTAAGACTGTTTTCTTATTTTGCAAATATTGCCAGCGCCGTTTTCCCCTAGAGCTTTGAGATGTTGGTTGACGTACTTCCGGATTCAGTCTCTGTGATTTTGTTAATCTATAGTTTAATTCTCACCTTGCAATGGGGTTGATACATCTGTCCGCTGAAGGAGGGTTTGCAATCAGTTCTGCCTGACTTCAGTTGTTTCACTGACTTGTGGAAAATCTTCTTTTAACCTGGGATTCCTAGAAATTAAGATTTACAAAATGCGATCTCTTGATAAATTAAACAGAAGCAAGACCTTTTCGCTTGAAGCCGCATGCTGACACTTAAGGAATTTTTACGTATCTGTCTATTCTGGGTTACGTTCCCCCATAAATTCCACTTGTTCATTCATTGGGTTAGAAAAAATTTAAAGGAGAAATGTCCTTCATCTCATTCAAGCCTCATTGAGCGAGATATATCCTGAATTCTAAAATTGTGTCTGAGTATATTCTTGTCTTCAGCTGCTCATCAAGCTGTATATTATAGTATTTTTCTTTTCTACTGATTGAGCTTATTTTAAATCGGGGCAATAAAGCAACTTGTCTCCCTAATTTTACATATATGTGTATATATGATTTCTCTAGCAACTCATTACTCGGTAGAAGCAGCTGCAGGCGTTGGGGATTGGGGGGAGGTGGTGGTTTTAAATACTCCTTCCTGACTACAGGATATAATGAGTGTGTAACAAACAGAGCTGAATGCAAAAGGCAACAATGGAAGGTCCATTGCATCTTTAGGCAGATGTGTGTATTTCGTGTTGGCAATGTTCTTTGGTACACAATCCTGTGGCTCATCGCAATCACAAGTCACTTTGATTAGGTTTTCTTATCTTAAAAAAAAGTACTATTGGCAAAATGAAAAATTATCAATCAGTTTCAGCTGGATGCCATTGATTATTTTGTTTACTGTTTTTTTTTTTTTTCTCTCAAGTATGGCATGCGACTAACAATATGGCACTGAACCTTGGATTGTAAAGAATTCAAGAATGCATGGCCAGTCAGAAACCCAGAAATTGTCCTGTAGGTCTTGTTAGTGAATCGCCTTTTTATTCAGTTGCGATTGCGGCCCTTAGAGGATGAGTGCCTCATGATGTTTTATCTCGATCTTTGAAGGCAAGAAACTCTTTTGATTGATACGCACCATGTTTTTATTTTATGTGATCATTTAATTACATGACTCAAAGAATAATGAAGCCCAGTGAAGCATAACAGAATCTGCCACAACTTTAACTTGTTTAAAAAGTGCCTTAACTAGAAGAGAAGAGTAGTCATGACACTATTAAGTGAAACAGATTATACTGTCATGCTGCGTTTTATGAGAAATACATTCCTTGTAGGTCAAAAAAGGGACAGGAGTAACATATTTTGTTTAAAACAGGCTTTCTCGGGGCGCCTGGGTGGCGCAGTCGGTTAAGCGTCCGACTTCAGCCAGGTCACGATCTCGCGGTCCGTGAGTTCGAGCCCCGCGTCGGGCTCTGGGCTGATTGCTCGGAGCCTGGAGCCTGTTTCCGATTCTGTGTCTCCCTCTCTCTCTGCCCCTCCCCCGTTCATGCTCTGTCTCTCTCTGTCCCAAAAATAAATAAACGTTGAAAAAAAAAATTAAAAAAAAAAAAACAAAAAAACAGGCTTTCTCTGAATTGTGAATAGTGAACATTTTAAAATACTTCAGCCTTGTATACTGCTCGTTTAATTCTAATGAAAACCCCAATTCCCAAGAGGTCAACAGTTGGTAATAACATGTGCTTAATCTTTTGAAACTTTGAATTATTAAAGAAATATTTTAGATAGACTAAATAGTGCATTTAAATTTTATAGCAGAGATTTTTTTTTCATAAAATGATTGCTTTATGAAATTGATGAGTTTCCTATAAAATGGAGTTCATCTGCTGTAGCCTCTATTGTATTACTATTTGATCCGTTGAAAAACGTCCTGTGTATCTGATTGAGAAGGAACTGGGTGTTGAATGCAAATCACAATTCTAACCATTTGGGGCAATCAGAACATCTACATCAAAGAAAATGAGTAATGGAGCATCTTCTTTAACACAGACTCAGAAAAGGCACACATACGTGTGTGTGTGTGTGTGTGTGTGTGTGTGTGTGTGTGTGTGTGTTTCTTCATAGTGCCTACTTAAGATGTGGAGGTTGTACTGAGAAAAGAGCCTAAGGTTGATGGAGTGTAGACCTACCTCTGCGTTTATAGATGGAGAAGTTTCTGCATGAATGAGGAATAATATCTATTACCGAGAGATTCTGCGTATCGTGTAAAGAACTATAAGGTGTGAATAATGATTATTTCTTATTCAGGACCTTTTGTTCTGTCTTACACTATCCAGGGTGATTATACTTATGACCATGATCCTTAAGTACCACTTTAAATTTATGTTTAAATTAAACTTTCAGGCTGATCACTTTATAATTCTGATTATGTTCCATTATGGATGCTAATTTTACCAAACGACTACAGAAGAGAAACCCCCCAATGTTATCTTACTCTTCATGTGTGATATTACAAAATGGCCTTATTTGGCTTTTTAGATCCAGTCGTTTCTCAGGATTCAGGATTTTGTTGGCTCTTGTCCATTTTTGTTAGCCATCATTTTGCCAGTAATGACCATTTGGCATATGGATTCATCCACCTGGGTGTGGCAGTCTACCTCTCAGGACTTCACTCCACCTACTCAATAGCTTGCCTATCCATGCCTCTTTCTTTCTCACTTCTGTGGGATGTGACCCCATTTGTGTTGACATCACCTATTTTGTTTCTGATCTCTTTCTCCTATCTTTCTCCCTAGGTCAGCCTGAAAGCTGCCTAGCATTTTAATGCATTTTTAATCTCACAGTGGTAACTAAATCCTAGGTGACAGTCAAGAGTTCCTCCATGTACATGAGTCATTTCTTGTTCAAAAGAGCACTTTTTTTTTGAAATTGTATCAGGCCATGAATAAATAAATCCCAGTGACTTCCCGCTAACAAATAGGATTCTATTACCTGTGGGCTTTTTTTTTTTTACTTACGGTACCAAAAAAGTTGTTTTCTTTTTAAAGCTCAAAATTGATAGATGCTGTAAAATATGATAAGCTTGTTCATAGTGTTTCAACCAAAAGAAGTGCCATGATGGTTTGAAACAAGCTCCTTGTTTTTCATTTGGGAGACATCAATTAACATGCCTCAGAAAATAAACGTATACTACTGGTTATTACGGTAACACCAGGAGAGGGGTCTGATAGCACCAAGAATAACTCTTTAAAACATTGAAACCATAAGGACATAGACAACCTGATAGGATAGTGCAGGAAATCTACATTCAGAGTCCATTCCTGTCTTGTAAAACAGCACCATTGATTTTTTCCCCCCCTTGAGGAATGAACATATCAAAATACATAAAATTAACATTTTGTTGGAAACAAATGTAATGGATGTCTTGAGGTCATTCGTGGCTTAAACACCCTCAAGTTTTCCCTGTTACCTGTGATAGGAACACGACCACTTGGACCATCCATCCTATCACAAACAGTCCAGATGCCCCGGGGAGGAACAAAAATCAATTGTTACATTTGATTACCACAACACCAAGCAGTATCTCCAATGGCAGTTGAACTTGACATCTTTATCTAAATATTTTGGGGTTGTGGAGACGAAAGAGTTTTACTGTCCATTTTCAAACCCCACAAAGGTTAGGGACTTCTAATACATCCTTCAGTAACCCTTGCTTCCTCGGTGCCCATACCTGGAAGCATGTTATTGTCTTGTCTTCCTAAAGTGTCGTTTCTGGTCATGATGTCACTTTTCACTTCCCTCACAGCTAAAGCAATATCCATTGATACTCAGTCTGGGCCTCTTACCTTGCTTCTTTGCCCAAGGTTCTTTAAAATCACACACACACACACACACACACACACACACACACACACACACACACAAATGGAAACTTGAAGTTAATGGAAACCTAAAAATAGAAGGGACAAAGCATTTCATTTACAATGAGAAAGGGATTCAGTGACACTTGCCCTGTGTGTGAATTTGCAAGGACATTTATGGTATTATCCTGTTTTACCTGGATTTCCCACGACCATTTCTCATAACTACATAGTGATTTTTTTTTTTTTTGAGGTTTTATTTCTATGGCTCTTTGCTCCCAAATTCAGTTGTAGATGAATTGGGGTATTTTTGCCTGAAGATACTACATTGAAGTCTCTTCCTCCTATTCTGAGTGTCCTGTTCACAAATCCCCAAACCTTAGGCAGTAATTTATTCAAACACTCTCATCCAGGTAGACTGCAATATAATCCAAGAATAAAAGGTCTCTCTTTGTAGGAAAACCTCTCAACACTAGGGTAAGTTGATAACTGTGGAAAGTTATCTGCAAAATTGGTCTATGGGGGTGTGAGGCTCTTTTATGAATTGACTTGGGCAAAGTATCTGAGTAATTATTTTTTCCTTAGATTATGTATAACAAGTATTTAAAAATTCCTCAGCATTAAAATACTTGAGTACTATCACAAAAGAGCCTAAACATCCTACAAGAAATCTAACAAATCGGTGACTTTAGTAACATCTGCTAAAAATATCTTTCTGCCTTAGCTTTTGAATACTTTCAGGTTTACAGAAGCTTTCCTAGGATATTTGTACTGGGGGAGTGGACTCATTAAGATATTGCAAGATGTCAGAGACATTTTAAGAACACAGTGAAAAGGGTTGGATTTTTCGGTTTATTCTTGTTCTGAAAATTGAGTCTAGGCAGTAAGGTGTTTTGTACATTCCCACGTAGCTTGGTTTCAGACCTATTATTCAACCTGACTCAGAAAAATCTGCCTACTGTCAAAACAGACAAACAAAAATTCTAAAGAATGCAAAAGAAATTGACCAACATTGTTTGTTCAGATACCTCTCTGATCTGTTCTGATACTTACAAGGTCAACAGTGCCTTTTATTGGTAAAGGAACAAAAGAAATGAATGCCAATT